CTCCCATCTGCAGTAAGGAAGCCCTAGGTTTTGGTTATTATGGTGTGAGTGAGATTTGATTGGACCAGAAATTTTCAAGAGCTGAGAAATCTTTCCTGTCAAAACAGTGGCATGCATTACAATGAAAAGTCCTATGGAAAAAATTATGTTTTGCCCAGAAAAAATTGTGACCAGCTCCAGGTCCATACTCCTATAAGCAGAAGAAGAATTTAAACAGGCATATTTAGACTTCAGTCACAACTGCCAGTCTTCGTAAGAGTTAGGGCACTGATCTTCTCTGGTCTTGGCTACGTTTCAGCATAGTTATTTGGTCTAAATTTCATATGAAAATGCATTTTCATAGGTTTAGGTTTTAAGGCTAGAAGGGACTTTTGGGATCCATATCTGACCTCCTACATTTCATGGTTATAGGGCCAGAGGGTTGTGCACTATATTTCACCCAGTTAGCCTGCTTTGAACCCAATAAGTTGGGTGAGACTTCGTGGAGGGGAGCCCCTGGGACAAGGAGATTGCCACAGCCATGATGCTCCCACCTTGGGAGTTTGCTGGGAAGTATGTTGCAGGAACGCAGTGTCCGCAGCTGCTGAGGCTGCGAGTCCCCAGCAGTTGCAGGACTTGCAGCCCCAGCTGGGCAAGATGCAGCCCTGTGGCTGGGAGTCCACAGCTGATGAGGCTCCCAGCCGCAGAGGGGAGACCCTGCTACATTCAAGCTCATTAGCAACCAGCTATAAAGTTAGTGCACGTTTTTGAGGTCTAACTTTGTAGCTGGTTGAAGCTTTTTATTGTATGATAAGTACTTTTCAGGTGTAGCTGGTCTCAAGGTAATTGTGCAATTATCCAGGAATTGTGTGATACCTGTAACATGTAGAGGGCCATCGGGTTGTGCAGGGAGCAGTCCCAGACTTTGTCTAAGTCAGGGGCGGGCAATTATTTTGGGCAGAGGGTCGCTTACTGAGTTTTGGCAAGCCATCGAGGGCTGCATGACAGGCAGCCAGGGAAAGATAAATATTAGTTTTCTAAAGTTTTTAGAGGCCCCGCGGGCCGAACAAAATGGCCTGGTGGGCTGCATCTAGCCCCCAGGCTGCATTTTGCCCACCCCGGTCTAAGCCAATATTTGCATTAATGATTTTGGAAGATGAATCAGAACTTGCGCTTGAGGTGATATATTTTATTAGACCAACTAGATATTTGCAAAAAAAAAATAATCAGAAAATCAAAAATCGTTATTTGCAAACTTTTGGGCACAGGTACCCTTCTTTAGGCATAGGAGAAAAGATTGTAAAAGTTCTCCTGGGTAGAAATGAAAGTTCATATATCATAGGATAATTGAAGTTGTGGTAAAATCTCCTGTTTGGAACAGTTTATTTTATGCAGATTAGGCTCAGAGAGAAGTTGGAATAATCTGTTTACCTTGAAGGTGTTTGGTGGCAACCAGGATCTTCTGGCCAGGAATTTCTTATGTGGGGAGGTATCTCTGATAATGCAAACTGAGATATTTATTACATTTTAAATGATGCCAAGCCAGGAGAGTTGCAAGCCCTTTGGGGGATAGTTACAATTCAGGGTTATCTTGACAAATAAGAGAGATGTTCTTTCATGGGGATGGTCCTGCTTTGAGCAGGGGGTTGGATTAGATGATCTTCTGAGGTCCCTTCTGTCCCTAATTTTCTATGATTTTATGAGATGCAATTCAGTAAGGAAAAATGCAAAGAAATACACTTAGGTAGTAATCAACTGCACGATGACAAAATCGGGACTAACTGGTTAGGTAGCCGTTCTGCAAAAAAAAAAAAGGACCTGGAGATTATTAAGGGATCATAAACTGAATATATGTCAACAGTGTCATACAGCTGCAAGAAAAACAAACATCACCTTGGGATGCATGAATAGGAGTGTCAACAGGCAACATAATTCTTCCATTCTGCTCAGTACAGGTAAGGTTTCAACAGGATTAGTGCATTCAGTTTGGAGCACTCTACTTCAAAAGGGATCTCGATTAATTGGAAAGAGTCCAGAAGTGACAAAAATGATCAGTGGTCTAAAACAGGTGATCTGAAGGAAGATTAGAAGAATTGGGTTTCTTTACTCTACAGAAGAGAAAACAGAGGAGACATGTAAGTCTATAAAAAGTTACTATAAAGAGAAAAGTTATGAACTGTATCCCATGTCCACTGGGGAAAGAGCAAGAGTACAAGGCCTACATTTCATCAAGGGAGATTTAGGCTGCACATCAACAGGGAGATGCATTTTCTAACCCTGAGAATGGTTAAGAATAGGAGAGGAGGACCTAAGAAGATGGTGGAGTCTCCAGCATGGGAGGTTTTTAAGAACAGGATAGAGAAAACATCTGTTAGGAATGGGTAGATCAGTTGTTCCCAGACTTTTTTAGACTCAAGGCAGCCCTCCATATCTTTTTTTAATTGGGTAGCATATCGAAAACTAATGTATGTATTACAGTGCTTGCTGCCTCATACAGCAGCCAGGTAATGTGTTCGGGTGTGGGGAGGGGTAAAGGAGAAGAGCTGCACTGGGATGAGCATGTGCTTCCCTCCTTGTACAAGGGCTAGACCGCGGGGGCAGGGAGCAGCCAGGCAAAGAAGAGGCTGAGCCTACGCTTGTCCTCTCACACCACTCCTCACTCTTCAGAAGAAGTCGTAGGGTGTCATAGCACTTGGCTGAGGAGCACTGGGGCAAATAGAGTTGATCTTGTCATGGGGCAGAGGGGTAAACTAAATGACCCCTTCCAAACTTTATTTTCTATGATTCCCATTTTCAAATGTAGATGCCAGACCTATGTTGCATATTCTAGTACCTATCTCACCGTTAGTGTCTACATAGGGGAAATCACCTCCATCCTCCTACTCCTTCCTCCCCTGGGTTTCCATCCAAGGTTTTGAGCCTTCTTTTAGCCCGTCTTTGCATCTTACTGGCAGCTCATGTTGAGTTGTTTTCCTACTATGACCCCAACTCCTTTTTCAGAGTCCCTGCTTTCCAGGATGTAGTTCCCCCTTCAGTAAGTTAGAAGCACGCACCTTGTTTCTGGATGTACAACTTGCATTTGACTGAATTAAACCACGTTTTGTTTGCATTACCAAGTGACCTGTACTGCCCTGGAAAACCACCCTGTCATCCGAATCTAGCACTTCACCACTCTCATTGTCCCCAGCAAACAAGGTCCTGTAGGACCTCATTAGGAATTTCACCATTAAATGATGAATCCTCATGAGCAATAACTTGGAGATCTGTCAATCAGTTCTTAACATATTAATGTGTGCTCTGATAAAAAGTCCAACGCCTTGTTTCATTGAAGCATATCTTCTAGGAAGACGTCCACTTGAGATGAAGAATGTGCTTTCTCTTTGTTTAGGGGGCGTAAATCAGTCTTCCTCCTAAAAACGTGTTGTCTTTGTGTAACGCATTTGTTTTCTTTTGTTGGCTTACACATTTTCTTTCTTCTAATGCCTTTCTCTGCTATATTAGAAAATCTTTCAGTACCTGGAAGTTTCAGATAGATCCAGTATTCATATCCATGTCTTGTCCTAAACTGCCATATAGCATGGTTATATAAACTGCTGGTTGCCACATTTCATTGCGGTTATTTTTCACTTGTGCATTACATGATTGCTATGCATCCTATTCTTACGTACTAGTTTATTAAGCTCAATATACATGTACATTTGTAATCAGAGTGATAAAGTTGTCTAAAATCCAATGTCCATAACTTATTCACCCCACCAAGCTGCATATAAGGACTTTTAACATTTGTTAGATGCTTCCTGGTAATTAGTTTCTCTAAAGTTATTTAGAAAGGAACAGATCTACCATGCATCTAAAAGCCCATAAATTGCATGCTACATGTTAGCTAGGGGGAGATCGCAAAATATAACAGTAATAGTGGTGAAAAATGGTAAGTGTTGTAAGAGGTGTAGAAGACAGATGTTGTGAGACTTTCAAAAAGACTCGCATGCCTATTCCCTGATCAAAGGTCACATCTTGTCCGTCTGGTAGCATTTCAGCAAATGCTTGCATCATTGCACTGTAAAACAATGACATACATCCCAGTGTAACTGTAATGTTTAGTCACTAGCTTCCTAGGGGGAAGAGGGCTGAAGACAGATCCAATACGTGAGATAATTTGGACTTCAAACCAAACCTTTCATGTAGTTACCTCCCACGCTGCAATCTGATATTGCTGTTCAGCCAAGATTTTATTCTGTGGAATAAAGGAGGGGAAATAACCAGTTTTGGGTCATGGAGTGGTATTTTGCTGCTGTTGTTCTATGTTTGTACTAAGCTTGGGCCCTTGTCCATGCGGGGGGCTGCAAGGTGCTAATGAAAATAATTAATAGCAATAATAATCCAAAAATGAGGAGTAACATGGGAGGGAGCTGCTGAGAAAGAAAAAGAAAAAAAAAAGCGGATTGCAAGAACAATTTTTGTGATTTTTTTTTTT